ATATGGTATGGGTGATGAAGATACCATCAATGAGATCTTAGATGATGTTGATATCGATAAGGTAATAGCATCCTTTACGAAGTCATTAAAGTTATTTTGGTATAAACTAACGATTATGTCTGCGTTTTATTATAAGTTGTTTGAAATACACTGACAAGTCACAAATAGGAATGATAAAAATCACATTATTGATTTTATGATATATTATGTGGCTTTTGTTAGGATGGGAAGATCAACTATGAGGAATTTGTAGCCATGATGAGAAAAGGAAATGCAGGATCGTAGAGATAAAAGTTTGGATGAAGATGCACTCGTTATTTTATGTTTATTAACATTTATATGAAGATGAAATTGAAGTCTTGTTCTTTCCCCAATAATTTGACTTCTAAACTAAAATGAAAAGATGTCTTCAGTAATGAGAAAATGTATATAAGTGCATAATATGGTCACATATTTCATTACGGTCAGCATATGTAAATTTGGTTCGAGTGCCATTGTTCAATACATCTTAAGGTTTTAATACCTAGGGTTGGTAGTGTATAGGGTTTTGTTGAACCCATCATCATTCCTATTTACGATTTCTAAACTCATGCTCTCCCATTTTTTGTGATTGTAATTCTTTTTTATCATCCATCTCACATTTTCCAGATACTCATGAATAATTCATACCCATACGTTACACGCAAATCCAGTTTAAAATTAATGTAATTAAGTTAAAAATATGTATAATTTTAAAGCTCGAACATTGAATATACATCATATGTCATAAACTAACCACAAAATATATGCTAAACATAACAAAGTGTAAACGGTTAGGAAAATTAGGTTTAAGAAGCGACGTATATGTCTTTTTTTTTTTATGGGGGACTGTAGATGTATATGTGTTAATTGAATCACAAACGTGAATTTAAGGAGTTTAGAATTGTATTATTTTGGTATTTTGATAGAGAATGAATGACAAATGAATCTATTAACTTGTAATTGAAGGACCAAATAGACCGCTAACATTCTAGTTGTTATTAGGGTAACAACTTGTAATGGCGTGTTAGAAACCGAATTATATCGGGTTTCTATATTTATTATTATAATCATTATTAGGGTAATTCTTATTATGGTTAGTAGTTTTCTAGTAGAATTAGGTTTAGTATTAGGGTTTTCTAGTATTTCTCTATATATATGTACTTTGGGTCATTCGTCAGATTAAGCAGAAGTTAATAAAGAATTATCTCCCTAAATTCCTATCCCAATCCTCTCAATTCTTGACCTCAATCCCTCAAAGGCTTAGGCCGATTCTCTTCTGTTCTTCCCCAAATTCTCTTCAAATCCCTAAATCCCCAATTCTGTTCTATAAACCCTAAATTCTCAATCTCTAGATCTGAAATAGAGACCCGTTAGAAACTTTGTTTCTAACATTTGGTATCAGAGCCCGGTTCGAGAATTGAGTTCACCACAACTCTCAACCGGGGACGAGTTCTACAACTGGTGCGATGATGAGCTCTTCAAAGCTCTCGAACCTGTCGTGGGCAGAGCTGCGTGACCGGGCTCGCCGCATCGGACGCCGTTGGAGCTCCGAAGAGTCGCCGACCATGCAAGCAGAGACGATGACCCGAGTCGCCGACATGAGCTCGTCACAGCTCTCAGATCAGGAGTGGGTTCAAATCCAACAACTGCTGCAAGAAGCAATCGACGCGCTTGATCTGGTGATGCTAGCGCGCAAAAGGAAGGCGGCGGTCGAGCCACCACCTGGTGCGCCGGCGATGACAGCCGAGGCGGCGTCCCAAACGTTGCCCTCCACGACATCGACAGCTGCTGCTACTTTTCCTTCAGCGTCGGCAATGGAGGTCAACGGGGAAGCGGAGGACGGCGCGGAGTCCCCTCTGACGCGAGGCGCGATTCCCCGTCGATCGGAGCTTTCTGCCAATGTTGCCTTTCCCGCCATAGCTGTGGGCATCGATAAGATGGTTGTCGCGAAGCTACCAGCAGAACAACCCACGTCAGAGGAGAAACCCCCAGCCGTCGGCGTCGTTTCAGCCGTGACCACCATTCCTGCAGCACTATCCTACATAAAAGCTGCTGCAATATCACCAAACGCCGCCGCAAAGAAATATCATGATGAGTTTGCTTTGGGAGGTGATTTTGGAATTAAAATTGGAGCGGCTGCCATTTGGAGTTGGAAATTTAGAAAGAAGAAGAAGAAACAAAGGCGGAAGTTGTTGGAGGATAAAGCTCTGCCGGAGAAGGAGAAGGACGGTTGGGCAATCACTAACGCCCCTGCTGAACTCGTTGGCGGGTCGGAGAAAGACCAAAAAGGGTTGTTAACCGAACAATCGCAAACGAAAAGCGACATCCTGTGGATTGGAAAGACCGCTGCATCCGTCTCTCACGAAGCAATCCTGGGGACGGCTGCGACATCGTCGCCCAACGAGTCGGTGACCAGAGCTGCCGCACCACTCAGACTACATGTCACCTTGCCACCGTGGCCAACGCCATCATTCGACGACCTCCTGTCCCTTGTGACCGTGTCGTCGCAAATCGTGGGTGGGCGCGAACTGCAATTGCCTCACTGGGTACTGCTGGCGGTAGGGATGTCAAACGATGAATGGAAGGAATCTCCAAATCGGCAACACCATTGGCTAAAGAAGAGATTCCTACAGCTGGTTTGTAAGTACGTAAATGCCATGTTGACTTCTAAAACTAGTGGGAATTACACAGCCTCGCTATTTGTGATGAATGGGAAGTTTGGAAGGGATATGGAGGTGATGGAGTTTCATAGCCAGGAAGGGTGTAACTGGGGCTCTCTTTGGGGGCTGGGGATCTATAATAGGCAAAACTTGCAATTCACAGCTTGGGGCGAAGGTGGAGGTTCTTTGGATGAGGAACAATTTATGAATTCAATTTGGATGGATGCTGGGTTATCGGGAGAGGAGTCCAGCGGTGAAGTGGCTGCTCCAAATCCGAGCGGGCAAGGGAACAGGTGGAGCTCAACGAATGCATTCTTTTATGACCAGTATGATCGGAATGCGTGGACAAGCCGTCGGGGGTCGAGCCAAAGGGAAGGAGTTGGAGTTTTGGTTTTCAATTCAAAGCTCAATCACATGAACCATGCATCCCTGCAACCAGTTCATTGCCGAGGGCCCAGGGAGTACCGCCGAATGTGGGAGATAGAGGCGAGATGGACAAAAGTTAGAGAAGGCACCACTGATGGAGAATTTAAGGAGCTAGTGAGTACGGACTCAAGACTCACTATAAGAGTTGGTGGAAATAATGCACAGCTCAAGCTTGGGTGGCAAGCTCGAGGAGGTGATTCGAGGGCTGATAGCTTCACCATAGAAGTAAAATCACAAGGATGGGGAGTGGGTACTGGATGTGAAAAAGTCATCATCTTTGTCGAAAGGAAGATGATAGATCCTATGCTAAAAGGTGTTTTTGGATCAACGAGAAGGTGGAATTATTTGATGAAGTTTGAAGTGAGGAACAGGGACTCATTTGATCGTGATCGTGGTCGTGGTAATGATGATATGCACTTCTTGGCAGAAGGAGGATCGATGGAAGCTGGAGATGCTTTTAATGGAGGCGCTTGTAACCTCGAACGAAATTGGAAGAAAAGAAAGCGTAAGAAACGACACAGTGTACACACAGAGCGCGCGAGAATTAAGAAGACGTGGGTTAAGACGGTCAACCTTGAGGACAAGGTTGGTTTGAAGGGGGAGGAGATGTTAGAAACCGAATTATATCGGGTTTCTATATTTATTATTATAATCATTATTAGGGTAATTCTTATTATGGTTAGTAGTTTTCTAGTAGAATTAGGTTTAGTATTAGGGTTTTCTAGTATTTCTCTATATATATGTACTTTGGGTCATTCGTCAGATTAAGCAGAAGTTAATAAAGAATTATCTCCCTAAATTCCTATCCCAATCCTCTCAATTCTTGACCTCAATCCCTCAAAGGCTTAGGCCGATTCTCTTCTGTTCTTCCCCAAATTCTCTTCAAATCCCTAAATCCCCAATTCTGTTCTATAAACCCTAAATTCTCAATCTCTAGATCTGAAATAGAGACCCGTTAGAAACTTTGTTTCTAACATGGCGCCATCTGCCCATTCCAGATTTCCAGTTAAGAAGATTTATCTTTTTCCGCTAAAGTGGGACTCAGGCGACAGCCTGGTTATTCTGCTAACTTGAAAATTCGTTAGTATATACTAACTAATATCCAAAATGTATGAACTAATATCCAAGTATGTTGAGTATCTAGATAGCACAGACTAGTATTCAAAACATCACAAACTAGTATCCAGATAGCAGATACCAACTAATATCCACAATCAACCAACTAGTATTCAATATGGATACTATTATGTGTTATCTGGATATTCTTATGGGTTATCTGGATACTAATTATGTGTTGTATTGATACTATTCTGTGTTGTCTAGATATTAGTTTGTGAATTTGGGATAATAGTTGATTCATGGTGGATATCAGTTAGCAAACTTTGAATACTAGTTTATGCTCTCTAGATACTTTAGTACTTGGATACTAGTTCATGTATTTTGGATATCAGTTAGTATCTGCTAACAAATTTTCAAGTTAGCAGATTAACTTTTCCCAGGAAATGGTATCACCTGAGGGGAAAAGTTAATCTGCTAACTTGAAAATTCGTTAGCAGATACTAACTGATATCCAAAATATATGAACTAGTATCCAAGTATTAAAGTATCTAGAGAGCACAGACTAGTATTTAAAGTTTGCTAACTGATATCCACCATGCATCAACTATTATCTCAAATTCACAAACTAATATCTAGACAACACAGAATAGTATTCATATAGAACATAATTAGTATTCAGATAACGCATAAAAGTATCCAAATAACACATAAGAGTATCCATATTGAATACTAGTTGGTTGATTGTGGATATTAGTTGGTATCTGCTATCTGGATACTAGTTTGTAATGTTTAGAATACTAGTCTGTGCTATCTAGATACTCAGCAGACTTGGATATTAGTTCATACATTTTGGATATTAGTTAGTATATACTAACGAATTTTCAAGTTAGCAGAATAACTAGGCTGCCATTTCCTCTGTTACTCATTTCGGCGTTCACAGTGGAAAGAAAACAACGATGCTCGTCTCGCCGCGCTCTGTTGTTCCTCCGCAATCCTCGCCGTTTTTCTCTTCCTCCTCCTTCAATCGGAACCCTAGGCGATTTCGTCCGGAGTTCCTCGCCAGATTCCTCTCAGCTCGTTGCTGCTCGACTTCCGCCTCCTCCCCCGGCGAGAACGCGACTCCGCGGAGCAATTACGCCGGCACGAGATTGGACGAGACCGTCGAGACCGGTTCCGGAAAGCTCCGGCTCGATTCCTGGATCTCTACTCGGATTTCCGGAATCAGTAGAGCTCGCGTCCAGTCCAGTATCAAGACCGGTCTCGTCAGCGTCAATGGCAAGGTCGTCGATAAGGTTCGATTTCTCGTTCGTTTCGAAATATTCGAATTCGTATCCTCGAGCTTCAGAATCCACTTCTAGAGTTCGCTTCGATTTGAGTTTTGTTCATGAGAATTAGTCTCTCCGATATGATTTGAGCAGGCTTCGTATAGCGTTAGAGGCGGAGATGAGATCCGCTGCACAATCTCGGAGCTCCAGCCGCTGAGAGCTCAGCCGGAGAACATACCGCTGGATATAGTTTACGAAGACGAACACGTTCTCGTTGTTAATAAACCTGCAGATATGGTAACTACTTCTGACTTCAGCTAGAAATTTCCTCAAGGAATCTCGTTTTTTTGGCTTCAAAATTTCCTGAGCAGAAATTATGCTGTTTCGCACTGTTCGATTCACCAGGTCGTTCATCCAGCGCCTGGAAATCCGACGGGAACGCTCGTGAACGGGATTCTTCACCACTGCAGTCTTCCAGGACTCGCGTCTTCAACTCAGGACATTATCACAGATCTGGAGGATCTTTCCGATGATGAAGATCTAGCTTCCAGCTCGAATGCCGCATCGATTCGGCCTGGAATTGTGCATAGATTGGACAAAGGCACCAGTGGATTACTTGTAGTTGCTAAGGTGAGTTTCCTGTCCTGGCTGTAGGTTTAAGGTAATAGACATAATGCTTTCTTCTAAACTGCTGGAATTTTTGTTGTCGTTGCTAGGACGAACATTCGCATGCTCACTTGTCTGAACAATTCAAGCTACGTACCATCAGAAGAGTGTACTTGAGTCTTACTGCTGGTGTCCCTTCACCGGTATCTGGGCGAGTAGAAGTTCCAATTGGCCGTGATGTCCATAACAGAATTCGCATGGCTGCTATCACTGGACCAATGGCCAGAGGGAAGGCCCGTCATGCTGCTAGTAGGTGATTGGTTTCTCTAATCCTGCCTTTCATTTGATGATGATATTGTCATTAAACTGGTTCTGTTAATCTCTAGGTAATAGTGCCATTATGATTATAGTGTAACTTTCGGCTGCTCGCTGAGTTTGCATGCCTCAAACAGTTTCTAGGGAACAATGTGAATGTCTCTCTGGTTCGGTTTGATGTCAGAAAAAAGAGATTAACCTAGGTTGTTCATAGGATCCTTGTTTCCTGGCCCTTTTAAGAACCTTGGCATTTTTGTGCAATCGACTTCATCAATCAGCTGACAAAGTGAAAATCCCTAGATCAACATATAGATATTAGGCTCGCTGCATCCCGTATTGTTGTCCTACTCAATAGGAGTTCTCACTTCTGCTTGGGGTTTGATCATGGGGCTGCTGCAATTTCTGCAGCAGAAGTGCTGAGCTTGTTTTGCCGCCATGAATTGCCTTGTTTCACAATTTTTAGCTCCCCTTCCTTGTTTCCCTTGTCTCCGTCCCTTGCTCTTGTCTTGTCTCTATTTCTAGCTGCTACTTATCTCTCTTTCTATCTGGACACTCTGCTGGTGTATGCTTGCTTTTACTAATGTTTTCTTATATAAAATAGACGTTTATTGCTAGTAGATACTAATACTGTGCAACTTATAAGTTGCTTACTGGTACTTTTACACGAAATAGTTTCTATAAACAATGTCTGCTTGACAGGTTTTATGTCAAAGCGAAAATATTAACCAATTTGAGGACCCTGCTGGCTTATTCAGTTTGTATGTATCTTGCGTCTGGTCTTTCTGCATAGAATAATAGAGCACGTCCATCGTTATTAAAACAAAGATCTCGAGATAAGCATATAGATGTCTGTAACAAGTGACCCTTACTCCGAATTATTGATGTACTGTAGTGATTCTTCCTTTCGTGTGCTTAACAATTGATTCATACGGCCAACTCAATGTTTATGAAGTTTGTTGAATATTGATCAGGTATAAGGTGATTGAAACTCTTGCTGGTGGTGGTTCAGCTTTAGTTGAGTGGAAACTAGAAACTGGGCGTACTCACCAGGTACTCAACATCTTAATTCATTCACTTTATTACCTTCAATGACTTGTGTCCTGCAACTTGATGATAAATCTTCCATGTAATCCATCTTTCTCACTTTCTCTTTTCTCGTGGAAGATTCGTGCACATGCCAAATATATCGGATGCCCATTGCTAGGTGACGAAGTCTATGGAGCGACCAGAAGCATGGCTCTGTCGCTGCTTCAACCCAAACTATCTCCAAGCCACCATGGTCGACTTCTGGAGTTGCTTTCGGAGTTAGATAGGCCTTGCCTGCATGCTTTCTCCCTTGGGTAAGACCATTGAAACATATCGTTGTGTGGCATGCCTCATTTGATTCGCCTACACAAACACCACAGACTGAGCAGGCAGTAATTATCTCGGCCATTTGTTTTCGTAGGTTTAACCATCCACGTACAGGGAAAGAAATACATTTCTCATGCCCTCCTCCCCCTGATTTCGAGAAGATGCTAATCCAGCTCCGTAAAATGAGCACAGAGACGGTACTTCTGTCTATATTCCTCCCTGCTGCTTAATTGCTTAACTTACAATCCTTAATAATATCCACAAAAGAGATTGCAATTATAGAAATGTTTAGCATCTGATGATCTGTTGTTAGATATGCCAGCCTCTTCGGTATTGGCTACTGAGATAGAAGAAAGGAGCTAATCCTTTGCATATGAATAACTGTTGTGCAGAAAAAGGTGATGACTGCATCATGAGGTTCAGACATTATGCCAGAGCTAGTGGGGCAAAATCAATCAACACCATGTCATTTAACACGTTTTCAGAGTCATCGACATGGAACTGCTAGAGTACCTTCTACGAGGCCGGCCTCTACAGAGGTAAGAGCGATATAGCTTTCTCTTGTCACTTGGCTTTATTCGTTTAATTTGTTTTCATCAAAATCTTTATCACAATCACCAGGTTTTAAAATTGAAACATATGCACCCGTGGAAACAGAAGAAAAGGAATTGCTCTCGTCCTTATTCCATAGTTTGATAGATAGAGTGATAAAGGGTCTAAAAGATGAAAGGAAAAATAAGCTGCCTGCTTAATCCCTCCTCTTCCCTCTTCACTTCATATGAAACTATGCTGCCTCATGTTCAGAAAGGTGGACGGAATTAATTAATTTACTATTATTTTTTTATGGGCAATATAATTTTTTTTATTAAGAATAGAAAGATTCCAGAGGTTGAGCCTTTTTTTCATCGTCTCCCCTCCAACACACATTCTAACCTTTGAATCTCTTGGTTGCTTGTTGTAGCGGCATGATGTTTTGCGCGTAGTGCCTTTCTTCCGTGAGATTCTTTACTGATGTCGCCAGCAAGTCACCAGAGTATATATACAAAGTCCTTGCGTTGCCTACCTTTCCCTAAGGGCTGCTGATTAGTGCCCTTTTTGGTTGCAATCTTCATTTCACCCTGGCTCTAGAATGTGCGTGTGTTTATTTATTTGTTGGGGTTTCACTTTTTAGCTGTACGTTAAGCAATTCGATGGGGTGAACTGAACTAGGGCAACTGTCAGGAAGGCTGAAAATAAAGCACAACCTGACGTTGACTCTGACGATTAATCGGAACTGTTGAACCAAGATTTTGGTAAAGCGCCGAAATCATTGCTACTGGAATTTTCCAATTAACAAGAAAGCGCCAAACCAGTCCCTCAGGCGTCACAAGACAATGAGTTGGTAACGATCCAGGGTGTGTATATGTATGTATTTTGATCACGGGCGAAGTTTTCCGTTTGTTGCTGTACAGTAAGGTGGTGTAAGCGAGCTAGCAACATTGGATCCCTAATACATTAATAAACAACAATTAGTATACAACATTTTCTCAACAACACCCACAAACCCCTGGTCGGGCGGAACCAAAAGATAAATAAAATTATTCAAAATGGAGCAAAAACTCTGTATGGTAGCTCTTCTCTGAATGAAGCGGTCTACAATCTACACCAACCTCTGCAGCTGAAAGAAATTAGATCAGTCATACTTTTGTTAGAGGAACTGTCACAAACTGCTGATTGTGTGTCAAACTGTCACGTATTGTCATTACCAAAAAAAATTAATAGCGTGATGAAAATGAAGTCTTGCAAATGTAATTAGAAGCTCAGAAATCCGCTCGTTTCGGTATTAATATCCAGGAAATGTGTTGTTAAAGAGATTTGGAGTATTCTTCACGGGTAATAGCTAATGACATTACTCTCTAGACAAATCGGCTGCTAGAATTTAAGGCGTGGTTTGGATGAATGAATTGAAAGATGAAATTTTCTACCAACAAAAGAAAGATGAAATTGTGTTTCAAATTCAAGAGCGAAGGAAATCAACAGATTCCACTATTTGTTTCAAAAGTGAGAACTCAAAATGATGGAATTCCCAATTTTCTAAGAGCGGCAAGTGAACTTTGAGCTTGCTTCAAACTAGAGAGAAACGTTCCACTAAGAAAAAAGCAGTTAAACTTTGCCCTTTTGGATCGAGCAAGGGACTTGTAGTGCAACTCAAATGGTGTCTCTCTCTACCCTCTCATCGCTCTCTCTTTTTTTCTCACCAGCTGCCGCTTTCGGAGCATTCAGAATTCAGGGCGTTGACATACGCCAAAATCAAAATGGAATCGCCATTAATCACCAATGTCAGAAGGAAGTGAGGAAGATCAAGAAAGATCAGGGGAGCATTTATGGAAGGGGGGTTTCAAGGACAGAGGAAGCCCCCTCTCTGGGTACCCAATCAGGGAGAAGGAAGGCCAGAGATCGGGCACGCCAGGGGAAATCAGAAGATCTACAACCGAAGCCACCTGATCAGTCGAACAGCAAGGAAGAGAGAGGAGGAATAAGAAGCTTGGAAGCACCAGACAGAAAGGAGACTAAGAGCAAGCAAAGAGGGGGAGGATGTAATGCCTATGTGCAGGAACAACAGGAAAAAGGTGTCCCATGGAGTAAATGCCCACGGATCCAGCCCCTGGAAAAGATCTGGGAGCAGGATCTACCAATCATTACCGCTATGGCTACCCACACAATTACACCCAGATACAACCCCCAGAGAATGAAGGAGGGGAGTGCATTAAATCAGCGAGTGGGAGCAGAGCAGTCACCAGGCAGCCCGCAGTTAGACTCAACTGCCAATAGGCGGCTACCTGGGGAAGAAAACCCATACCAGAAAAGGCAATTAAGAGGAGAACAGGGACGGAGACTCAAAGAGGGAGGATCCTCCCAACTACCTCATTTACTACCAGAAAAAGCAGAGACAAGCACGAGAAGGACAACCCATTTGAGGCAGACAAAAGGGCACTATAAGAAGAGGATAATGCATGCAAGGCCAGAGCAACCGAATCCTTTCGATAGCAACAGCCCAGAAAAGCAAACACAAACTCCTCAGAGAATCCCAACAACCAGAGCCTACCTACTCACACTTATCTCGGCAAAGCAAACGGAAATGGAGCTGAGTGCATCAAGCTCGAGAGGAATGAAGAGCCACCTGGTCCTGAACGTTCGACCAAAGGTGGTGGGTACAGTAGAAAGCGGCATCCCAATGCTACTTTGTAGATGGGTGACGGATGCAAATATCCCACTACACAAAGCCAGAAACACGGCTTTCCACAAATGGAGAGCTTATGGAGAAATCCAGGCCACCAAAGAGGCGGATAACCTCTTCATCTATTCCTTCCCAACCATGAAGCAAAGAGATGCAGTCTGGGAAGCTAGGCCTTGGCTACTGGGGAACACCATGGTAGCCATGAGAAAATGGGACGGGGAACAGAAACCAGAGCTGGAAGATATCAACACTATCACACTGTGGGTGCAAATGCACGATCTGCCTCAGTCACTGAAGGACGAGGAATCCATCCAGGCGGTTGCTGAGTTTATATTCCCACAGTATCATGGAATCGACAACACCAACTTCGAATTCCGAGGATGGCTGAAATTCGTCCGGGCTAAAGTGGAAGTCCAACTGGGTCAACCTATCCCTATTGGCTTCGAATACCCACTGGGAGAGAGATCAACCTGGGTAAGTTTCAAGTACGAGAGGATCACTGATCTTTGCTACTTTTGCGGCAAACTGGGTCACCTCATCCAGAACTGCCTGGTGCGGGAAGATCACAGGAGGAGGGGTCTATGTACGGACCCATCGGAAGTCTACACGGCGGCTCTCAAGGCAGGCCATGATTCGCCGGAAAACGTCCCCCCGGCCTCTTTCCGGGAGAAACAAGACAGAGTCAGACAAAGCACAATGCTCGAGCAGAGGGCCCGCCATCAGCCAAAATCCCGAGGTGAATCGTCCTTGCTGACACTGGTGGGTCAGCCAGTACAGTCTCGAGCCTCCTGCCCGCCAGGGTTTGTTGCCCTGCCCATCGACAACTATGGAAACAACAGAGAAGGAGAATGGCTTTTCAGAGGAGAGGGAAGCAGCCCCACAAACATGTCGCAAGTGGCGATGTTGCAGGTGGACCTAGCCGCAGCGGCGATGCAAAGGGGGATGGACCTGTCGGGGAAGAAGAAAGCATCAAGGGAGGATCAGGCCGGCCTGCTGGAGATGGGCCAATCCCTATCCCTAGCCAGCCCAACATTTCCTTTCCAGGAGATGTCCCAGGCCCAAGGAGGTGAAGCCCAGAACCCAGACCAGAGAGCCCAACCGATCAGTTTCCCCCTTCATCAGAGCCCGGCCAACACCCTACTAGCTACTCAACCCTCTCAACTGGGCCCAGGGATACAGATCGCGGATGAACCAGAGGAGAACACCACCAGACCGGAGAAAAAAAGGAAACCAGAACACCGAGAATCACAGACCGAGTCGGCACCCCAACAAATCTTTACTAACCTTATGTCTGTTGAATCTATGCCTTTTACAACAGGAGGGGAGATCAGGAGGTATGCAAGAAAGAGGAACTCGATTAGGAGAAGGAGCATCAGGGAGATTAATGCGGATGGAAACCAGTCAGGAGAGGGAGAATCGAGCTTCCAGATGGCGTCGGCGGCAAGCCAGAAGCCGCCTTCCCAACCATGAGGATCATCAGCTGGAATTGTAGGGGGTTTGGCCAGCCCCTTACAAGAGGCTATTGTGGCAGGCTCTGCCGAAAATTTGGCCCCTCAGTGCTATTCCTCATGGAGACGAAAAAAGAAGACCTTTTCATGGAAGGGAAGATGAGGGCAATGAGGATGGAGCACTCGAGGTATTGTAGTCCGTCAACAGAAGGAAGCGGCTTGGCCCTTTTGTGGAAAGAAGGAGTTGATTTACAGGTTCTTGATGTGTGTAAGTCCTACATGGACACTAGGATCGATAGGGATGGGGAATCTTTCTTTTGTACTTTCATCCATGCTCCAACCACGGCGGTGGAGAGGAGAAGCCTTTGGGAACGACTTACGAACCTAAGGGAAGCTCGGGATGAGAAGTGGCTGATTTTGGGTGACTTGAATGTTGCTCTGTTTCCTTTTGAAAAACAGGGGCGATGCCCCCTGAGAAATGAGAATGTGATCCCTTTCAAGTATTTCATAGAGCAGAATGCTCTCTTGGACCTGGGTTTTAATGGCCAACAGTTTACCTGGACTAACAAGCAACAAGGGGACAATCTCATTCGCGAGAGACTGGATAGAGCCTTGTGTTCGACATCTTGGAGGATGAGTTTTGGATCGGCAGTTGTCTACCACGAAGATTTTGTGGAATCGGACCACTGCCCCATCAGAATTGATCTTCACCCGAAGAATCAAGCCAGGAACACCCCTTTTAGATTCGACAAAAGGTGGAGAGAAAATGATGAATGCTGTCATATAATTACAAGTAGATGGAATAGAGAGGGACAGATTGGGGAAAAGATGAGAGACTGCCAAAGGGAACTACAAGAATGGGCTCGTAGAGATTATAACAGAAAGCTTAGAAGGGAAACTGAGATAAAAACTAGAATACAGGAGGTCCAAGGGCCGGTTCGAACTGAGGAGATGGTCAACGAGGAGGGAAATCTCCAAATGGAACTCGCAGCAATATGGAACAATGAGGAGGAATTCTGGGCACAGACTTCCAGAAACAACTGGCTTCAAGAGGGGGACCAAAATACGGGTTTTTTCCACGCAAGCACCATCAAGAGGAAGAGCAGAAACAGAATCTTGAAACTGAAAAATGAGGAAGGCATTTGGCTTGAAGACCCTCAAGAACTGGACCACCACATTAATACTTTCTATCGACGTCTTTTCACAAGCAAAGAGATACCTTTCGAGCACGACCTCCTGGCCGGGTTCCCTCGACTGGTGACACCCCAAATGAATGACGATATCACAGCAGAAATAAGCACAAATGAGATACGCAAGGCAGTTTTCCAATTGGGAGCAAATAAGGCGCCCGGACCTGATGGCTACCAGGGCTTCTTCTTCCGTAAATTCTGGAACCTGATTGGGGAGCAACTGTGTGAAGAGATCATCGATTTTTTCAGAAGAAAGGTGATCCCAGATACTTGGAACGAAACTTTCATCATCATCATCCCCAAAGTGGAGACCCCTGAGACTATTGGCCAGTTTCGGCCTATTAGCTGCTGCAATTTCAAGTATAAGGTAATCACAAAAATCATGACGAATAGATTGCAAAGATGGCTACCCGGACTGGTGAACGAACTGCAAGCAGCCTTTACAGGAGGTAGACAGATTCAGGATAACATTATCATCGTCCATGAGGTTTTGAATCAGTTCAAAAAAAACAGGACTAGATCCCGCAAAGACATGATGCTCAAGCTGGACATGCGAAAAGCTTATGACCTTGTTGAGTGGGACTTCCTACTGAACCTTTTGGACGCGTATGGGTTCTCCCAGGTCTGGTGCTCTTGGATTAGGGCCTGCATCACAACAGTCAAGTTCCGGTTGCTAGTGAATGGGGAGCCTTCTTCGGAATTCACCCCTTCAAGAGGTCTGAGACAAGGGGATCCCCTTTCCCCTCTGCTCTTCATCCTCATGTCAAACTCCCTTTCTTTCCTTATAGAGAAGGCGGTTCAGCAACAGGAAATCAGGGGCATCAAGCTGAACAGAACCTGCCCCCTCTTGACACACTGCCTTTTCGCTGACGATACAGTTATTTTCGGGGAAGCTTCAACACAAGAAGCTCAAGCTATTATGAGTATTCTGGACTCGTATGGTGCAATCACAGGGCAGGAAGTTAACCGAGAAAAGTCGTCCGTCTTTTACAGTCAGAATGTGACGGAGGAGGAGAAAGGAATCATTGCTCTATCCATTAATTTCGAGTGCTCCAACGCACCTTCAAATTACCTGGGGGTACCCACTGACTGGGGCAGATCGAAGAAAGAAACTTTCCAATTCCTGATCCAAAGATTGGAAGCCAAAGGGGAAGCGTGGAAGAGCCTATTGCTGTCCCCAGGAGGGAAGGAGACACTTCTCAAAGCAGTGTTCCAAGCCGTCCCTTCCTATATCATGTGCTTGTTTCTCCTCCCTCGATCGATGACTACCAAAATGGATGCATTCCTCAAGAGATTCTTCTGGAGCGGGTCACTTTCAAAGAAATCCATCCACTGGAAGGCAGGCAGAGTTCTCTATGCTCACAAATCCGAAGGAGGGCTGGGATTCAGACCATTCCACATATTCAATCTCGCTCTGCTTGCAAAACAAGCTTGGCGCATTCTCACGAACCCGGAGGCTTTGTGGGTCAAAGTTCTGAAGGCTTTGTATTTTCCCAGAACTGAGTTCACGAAAGCGAAGAAAGGGGGAAAGGCTTCTTGGATCTGGTCAGGAATTTGGGAAGCAAGGCAATGGATGGAAAAAGGGATTATCAGAGTCATTAACAACGGGAAAGACACAAGCCTCCTCCATGACCCATGGTTGTTTATGCGAACTGGACCCCTGCGACAGGATGGCAATGGATCAAACCAGTCAACTGCTGACTTCATTGACCCCATATCCAGAGAATGGCGATTTGATGTTTTGCAGGAGTACCTTAGCCAGTCGGAGATGCAGGACGTGGCAAAAACGCCGGTCGGGCCCATCTCGATGACGGATTATTGGGCGTGGAGATATGACGACAAGGGCGTCTTCACGGTCAGGTCGGCGTTTCACCTCTTCCACCACCAATGGAGGAGGGATCGAGGAGAAGAGCTACACCTCCCGGATATTGCAAAAGAAAGATGGAAATGGCTTTGGGGGCTTCATCTACCCCCAAAGATGAAGTACTTTGTCTGGCGAGCTTCAAGAGGGGCCCTGGCAACGAAACACAATCTGTTTGGCAGAAGATGCTCCACCTCCTCGGCCTGCCCGGTGTGCGCTGACCAAGAGGAGTCTACTCACCACTGCCTGTTCTTATGCCCTCATGCACAAGCTGGCTGGAATCTGATATTACCAAACCTGGGCACTCCTCCACCTCTTACGAATGTGCTTGATTGGCTCTATGCCATGTCAAACCACGCGCCGGCCGAGCTGGTCCAGAATTGCATCTACCTTCTGTGGCAAACCTGGAAAGCAAGAAACGAGAAAGTCTTCAAGGATAAAGCCCCGGGGCCGTTTGCTACTGCTTCTCGCGCAATGGAGGAAGCCCACCGCTGGCGAACCTGCCCCAAAATCAGAAAGTCCTCTCCCCACCCTCAGTCAGTTTCACCCCCTGAATCAACCTTACCACCGCCAGGTACCCACGCTTTGCAGGTACACTGTGATGGATCGTATCTTCACGATTCCCAGGAGGCGGCATATGGCGTCGTTGTTACGAACGGCCATGGTCAAGTTGTGGATGGGATGGCTGAGCACCTGCACTGCAACTCTGCAATAGAATCGGAAGCCTCTGCTCTTCTTAAGGGGGCCTTGTACGCGGTGAACCTGAATGTCCCGTGCCGGGTTTACTCTGATTGCCTTACTCTTATTAAGGCCCTTAGAGGACACCCAAGTGGTTGGCCATGGCGAGCTGCAGCTTGCTTGGGAAGAATCATCGACATCACCAGCAGTTTCCATAACATCAGTTTTGATTGGATCAATCGCAAGGGTAACTCCAAAGCTGACTGGGTTGCTAGATCCTGTGTTAGGAACCAGCTCCCAGCGGAATGGATTACCATTCTAGATGTTATTTCCCCCCTTTTGTAACGAGCCGGCTTTTGCCTCTATTAATGAATGCTTGTGTCCTTGTCAAAAAAAAAAAAAAAAAAAAAAAGCAGTTACCTTTTATCTGGCTTTGTATTCTCCGAGGTGCATCCATTTTGTAGCTGACCATTTGTTCCCTATAATCACTGGGCAACTACCTGGAAAGGAACAAACGAAATGCAATTCAGAAATCCAAGGGAGGAATGAAATTCTTTTCAACTAGCCCCTGATAAAAAAAGATGGATACAACTAAGGACTTGATTTCGTTTCTCTTCCGACAGCTTTGCGAACCAATGAATCAAAATACCATGTAAACTGGAAGGATCTAATGAGGCATCGGGCCTTGTACTCCAAAAGAACAAGGCATTCCCCCTCTTCGGTTTCAGGGAAAGACCCTTTTTACCACATTCAGACAATTCATCCCACCATGGCACCGAACTGGAATTCGCCTTGGCGCTCGGAAAGATAGTCTCGCCTCCTTCTTCGACGTCTGACCTGGATCGGAAGGGCCAGAGAACCGTGAATACGAATTCACTATCACGTTTGGAATGTAGATAAGTGTGTCAAACAGAGCAATGAAACATGGGACCCGAAGGAAGGATCAACACTCACAGATACATTAGCAGAGTAGCAGTCCGCTGGCCTCCATTCTTGGTGTTGAACTCATCAAGGAAATAATCGAAGTGAGGCTCATACTTCTGACCGATCTCGTAGTGGAGGATTTGGAGGCCTTCACCATTTTCTGCAATATATCATGGCATGGAACTCATTCAATGACTGTAGCGCCTCACATTAGCAGAGAAATGGGATATGGTTTATGAAGAGGACAACATTGGTATGGGAAACATAGAGCTGAGTAGGCTTTCAATTATATCATCATTTATGACAGGAAGTCTAGTGTAAAATGAACTAAGATTCAATGAAGTTCTTAACCATTGTCTGAATATAATGGAACTATTTCAATGAAGCAAAAAGGTGCACAATCTAGGGGACACTGGAAATTATTCAGGATGTAGGAGTTAGTGATATTGGAAAAAATAGAGATAATGATTGTTTAGAGTTAGACCCATGACCTTTCATTATAGGAAGCCCTAATTTTATGAACCCTCTCTAATACTTAAGACGCGTCGTACCTACAGGAATGAAAGTGAACTCTGAGATCCTCTTCTCTATAGTCCTAATGATTTTATCCTGTCCTCTGCTGAGAAACATCCCTGAGCTTGTGCGAACCCTGCAAGAAAAAATAGTTTTCCAAGTGTCCACATAACTAACTATTTAACTGAATCTCAAGAAGGCACAAACTAAGCGGTATTCCAAACATTCCCTAGATCTGCCTAATGGTATTCAGGACATGTAGATAACAGCACCTGCTATCTTTACTCTTCCCTGTTTTGCTGTCCACCACGGTTGATTTTGTCATGTGAGGCTTAGCTAGAGAGATTAGGTACTCGCATTCTTCTTTGGACTGTCGAAGTTGGAATCCAGTATTAAAAATCACTATTACTGGAAGTAATGAACATAGAACCTGGCAATGCGACTGAACAGCATAGAAGAACTCCACACAAGGGCAAAGCAAGTGTCTAATCAATTGAACTTTCCTCAATCTACATTAATCTAAAGAAAGGGAAGCACCAATCTATAAGTCCACTAGAAACTGAAAAAAAAGGAAGCCGAAATAAGCAAAGATGAGATTGAATCAACTGCAGCTCAAAACTACAAGCAGAACATTCTTCCTCTTTGTAAATCTTATATTTGTAAAACTCGATCTATGCACAAAGGCTGAAGCCAGAAGATCATACTGGAACAAGCAGCTTGAAGTTAGAAAGAAAGAAAAAACTTTAGGATTTTTTCTTCTATAAAATCTCATACTAGCAAACTCAAATATATGAAATAAATGCTGAACCGAGAAGATGGATCCATGTCTCAGCCAACCAAATGCATTTCTCTAATCAATTGAACATCCTCAATATAGGTTACTCTCAAGAAAGGAGGCACAAGCATCCCAGCTATAATTCCCTTCGTAACTACCAAAATTCCAGAAATAAGATGTATATCAAAATCTAAATCAGCTCCAACTCAACATTACAACAGTCCAATACGATTCTTCCTCTATGGAATCTCATACTAGCAAAGCTCAGTCTATGAAACGAATAGCTGAAACCATTAGAAACCTAACAGCGCATCAGCAGTAGCTTGAAATTACAAAACCGCAAGAGAACTCTTCCTCTATGGAATCTCAAGCTAGCAAAATCAAATCTATGAAAACGAATACTGAAACTAGAAAATGGATCCATCGGCTCAGCTAGACAGATGCATTTTCCAATGAATGGAATTTTCTCCACCTACGTTACTCCAAAGCAAAAGCGCATAGAAGCTACAGGGAAATCGCAGTAGTTAGAGGATTACGCTTGAATCAGCTAACAGCTCAAACTAACCAGAACTCAAGAATCCTATTATTAAGGAATTCTCACAGTAGCGAGCGAACTCGTTCTGTGAATCGAAAGCTGAGCCGTAAGAAAGCTAGATTTGAATCAGCTGTAGCTCAAAGGAATCTCATACTAGCAAACTCAATGAACCACACGAATGCTGAAGCTATTGACTCGGAAAATGAACTCACCAAGAAATTGTGATACACGAAGGCTCTAGGCTCCCAAGAAACGATCTCAGTCCACTGCTCGCCTCGCTTACCTAGCCCGTCGCCATCTCTGCACCAACGCAAAACCGTTTCAAATAAAAAAATTCAGCACATCGAATCGAAATCTAGTCAACTGAAACTCAAGCAATCACAGACCGCCGCCGCCGCGCTCTCTCTCGCTCTCGCTTACCGTTCGGCGGCCATGCGGCGGTAGGTAGCAGGCAGATCCTTAGGAGTCGAATCGTCGGTGCTCACAGGGAGCGAGAAGATTCCCAAGCCTAGGAGAATCAGGAGAACGAACGAGAGCATAAAGAGCATGGAGAAAACCAGCTTGATCGTCGACCATTTCTTCGAATGCAATCGCGAGTGCCTCAGCTTCGCCATTAAACCTTCGCTCGAAGAAGCGCCGGGGTTCACCCGCCGCCGCCGCCGCAGCTATACCGTTTCTTCGAATCTGCGAAGTTTTGCTAAAGGAATTTGTCTGCTCTGTTGATTTTGAAGAATCGCGGCAGAAAGAGGAGCTCTCGTGCAAAAAAAAAAAAATCTGGAAGGGCTCTCTCTGTTGTATAGTGAGGAGAAAGGGATTCTGCAACTGGGATCTCGGTATTTATAGTGTCTGCCAAACAAGACACTTCTGAAGAGTGAACGAAACGGAAGCGGAGGGGTATTTCGTCATTTGCATTTGATTTACGACTTCGTTTTTATGCGGCGCTGGCGTTCTGTGGGCAGACAGCACCAGATTTTCGTTGGACTGACTGATTCTGACGAAGGATTTGCTATGAAATATTATCCGCCGTATGTATGGTAGAGATCATCCGCGGCGATCCAAACAGTTACTATGTAACAATTAAGTTTTGTTTTCATTAGATGTTGGCCCCAAGCTTCTCCAATCCAATGTCAGCTCAAAGGAAATATGGTAAGCATCAAGACATATGGCACCAACCAAAGCCCCATACTCAGGATGAAATGTCTGTCTTATTCTTTCAGCTAATTGACAGATTGTTGGGGAAGTGGTCACGAGGAAACTATGGTTTTTTTTTTTTTTTTACAAGTAACCTGTATTGATAAAATTAAGAAAGTTAAGGTACTACAATGCCATCTTTTGCTAAAAGAGGTATGAGAAAATTAGGGGTTCGGTTGAACCACACTTCAGTTTCATCCGGTCGACATTGGGTACGAGCCAACAGATGAGCACACTCATTCGCATTTCTCCCCCAGAATCTCCATTGCACATTTCCAGCTTCCTCTGCCAGTTCCCGAATCTCATCACAGATCCCCCCAATCTCCCATGCCGTTGAATCCCTTCTATCCAGCTTCTGAACCACCGATTTGCAGTCTGTTTCCATAATTAGAGGCCCAAAATCATGGCTTTTTGCCAATTTCAAACCCCATAAGAGAGCAAGAGCTTCTGCCATCTCCGGTGGCCATTTCGTCCTTGTTCGATGCATCGCCGCCATCTGAAAAGTCCCCTCCCCATTTCTAATCACCATCCCGAAACCCGTTCCCTCCTCTCCCAACACAGCCGCATCGGTATTCATCTTGTAGAATCCCTGAGGCGGAGGCTCCCATGCAACCCTAATCGGCGACAGCTTTGGTTTCGGGTCAGGGCCCTTTTGCAATTGCTGGTATTCCTCCAGGTAATTCTGCGCTCTCATCACTACTTCCCACTCCTCCAGCTTGTGGTTGTTGAATAGATGGTTGTTTCTCTCTTTCCAGAGAAACCATAGGGTAATCAGAACCATAGTAAGTTCTTCCTCAGTCGTTCCTTCCATTAGGTTACAGAGCCATTCCTCGCACTTCTTCCCTTCTCCCATTTCAAAATACTTCGCCAAATAACTTGGTCTCCATACTCTTCCAACCCAATCGCAGTCCCTCGTGATATGTTCTTGCGTCTCTACTAAACCACAAAATGGGCATTCATCGTGTGCCTCTGGAATTCTCCTGCTCAGATTTGCACCCGTAGGTAGAATATTACTACCCCATCTCCACACAAACACTCGAACCTTAGGAGGTAGTTTCAGCATCCAGAGCTGTTTCCAATCGATGGGGACATAGTGCTCTATCTGGCTGTTTAAGTATCGTCTCCTCCACTCTTTATAGCCCGAGCGCACAGAATACTTCCCAGATTTCTCCTTCCCCCAAATTCGAACATCTGGTCTTGATCTGAAAGGAAGTGGTATTTGTTTGATCCGATCTCGGTCCACTGGTTCGAAATTTGCTTGCAAAAGATTGCTTTTCCACGACCGATTCTCATGATCAATCAATTTTGACACCCTCTCCATCATTCCCAAACCATTCACCTGTGTTTGAACTTTGTAGTTCTCAGCTGTTGGGATCCATCTATCCCACCAGATTCGTACACTTTCCCCATCTCCTATCCTCCATCTCGTCCCCTCCCTAACCAGACTTTGAGCTTGCATTAAACTTCTCCAGATGTAGCTTGGGTTTGTACCCATCTCAGCCTCCAGTACATCACTATGAGGATAATATTTTGCCTTTAAAACACTAGCTACTAGGGTGTTAGGATTTTGTAAGAGATTCCAGACCTGCCTTCCCAGAAGGATTATATTGAACCCATGGAGGTTTCTAAATCCCATTCCTCCCTCATATTTAGGTCGACACAGCTTTTCCCAACTCATCCAGTGTATCCTTTTCTCCTCCCTTTTCTTTCCCCACCAGAAGCTGGCAATCATACTCTGTATTTCCTGAATCACCCCCTGAGGGATTAGGAAAACTGACATAGCATATAGTGTTTGAGATTGAGCCACAGCTTTAATGAGTACCTCTTTAGCTGCATTAGATAGGAGTTTTCCTTTCCAGTGTTTGATCTTGTTTCGGACTCTATCAATAAGCTGAGCAAACACAGCTTTTTTTGCCCTTCCAATTACAGTAGGTAGGCCCAAATACTTGTCATGAAACATGACAGTCTTCATGCCTAGGATTCCAGCCATCTCCTGTCTGTCACTGTCCACAACATTTGTGCTGAAAGATAGTTCTGATTTGGCTAGGCTGACTTGTTGTCCCGATGCTTTCTCATAGGTGCTTAGAATATCCCTCACCATCTCACCCTCTTCTTTCTTATTCTCAAAGAAAAAGATATTGTCATCTGCAAAGAAGAGGTGAGTGATCATAGGGCCATTATTACTCACTTTTATCCCATGTAATCTCCCCTCCTCCACTGCTTTTTTAGTTAAAGCAGACAAACCTTCTGCACAAAGCTGAAAGAGATAGGGGGATATAGGGTCCCCCTGTCTTAAACCTCTTGTTAGTTGAATAATAGCTGTTTGGTGGCCATTTATTAAAGCAGAGTAGGTCACAGTAGACACACACTGCATAATTAACTGAACCCAGTCTTCATGAAATCCCAGTTTAAGCATAATCCCCTCCAGGAAAGCCCATTCTACCCTGTCATATGTCTTGGCTATGTCCAGTTTTGCTGCAACATACCCCTTCTTCCCTTGTTTTCTATTCTTCATGGCGTGAAAACACTCAAACCCGAACATTATGTTGTCTGTGATGTTCCTTCCAGGAACAAAGGCACTCTGAGTCTCAGTGATCACCTCATTTAAGATCCTCTTTAGCCTATTGGCCAGCACTTTGGATAGTATTTTGTACAGTACCTTGCATAGTGCAATAGGTCTAAAGTCCTTAGGAGAACTTGGCTTCTGAGTCTTTGGAATCATAGCCAGCAGGGTATGGTTTAAAGATCGAGGAATATGACCTGTTATCAGGATTCTCTGTAACTCCATACAAACTGTGTCCCCAACCACTGCCCAATTCTTTTGGAAGAAAAGGGTTGGCATCCCATCTGAGCCTGGTGCTTTGGTGGGTGCCATTAACTTTACAGCTTCCCATATTTCCTCCCTAGTAAAAGGAGCCAAAAGCTCTTGATTCATTTGGGGAGTCACTTTAGGCTCCACTGCTGCAAAAACATCATCCATGTTTTGAATATGCCCTCTCTGGTATAGCTTATCCAAATACTGCCAGAAACAGTTCATAACCTCCTCATGTCCTTTGAACTCTATTCCATTCTCATCCCTCAATTCTTTAATTGTGTTCCTTTTCTGCCTGTTTGAGGCTTTTCGATGGAAAAACCCAGTATTCTTGTCCCCTTCCTTTAGCCAATCTGTACAAGATCTTTGCCTCCATCTAATCTCTTCAAGATGCAGGACCTCGTTTAGTTCCTTTTCTAGCACTCTTCTTTGCAGTAGAACTGCCTTGTTCTTTCTTTGCTTAGCAATCTTGGCCAAAGCCTTCTCAATCCTCTTTTTTCGAGCTCTTAGACTACCAAAAGTCCTCTTGCTCCATTCCAACAAAGCTTTCTCATAATCCTTGATCCTATCCTCCAGAGGCTTATCAGGATCTTTTATCCATTCTGCTTCAATGATGGCAGAGCACTCTTCATGAGTCTGCCAATAAGCTTCAAAATTAAAATGTCATCCCCATCTCAATTTCTCCTCCTGCAAATTCAGCTCCACTTTTATTGGTAGATGGTCAGAAACCTACCTATCCAGATGACACACTCTAGCTTCAGGAAACCACTCCTTCCACTCTGAGTTGGCTAAAGCTCTATCAAGTCTTTCTTCTAGGAAGGTTTCATCTACCCTTCCATTATCCCAAGTAAACATATTGCCGTAATATCCCAAATCCTCTAACTGACATTCATCAATCGTTGTTTGGAATTCCTCCATGTTTTGGAAATCTGGAGGATTAACTCCATTCTTCTCTTCATAGCTAAGCACTTGGTTGAAATCCCCACAGACCAGCCAGGGCATATTTTGTTGCTCACGCAGCCTTCTGATCATTTCCCAAGTCTGTGGCTTATTTTCTTGTTCAGGCCACCCATAGACTCCTGTAAACCGCCACTGATTCCCTTCAGTCCCTTTGCTAATCCAAACATCAATGAAATTCCTGGTTAAGTTTTTCACAGTCACTTGCATTTCCTCTGTCCATAAGAGCAGCAGCCTTCCTGCTCTACCTTGTGATCCAACACCCTTCCCTTGTGACCATCCGAGTTGTTTGACAGTCTCTTCCCATTCGTGTTCTTGCTTCTTAGTCTCCATGAGGAAGACTATGCTGGGGTCTTGCTCTTTGAGTAGTGCAGCTACTCTTGCAACTGTCGTGGGATTCCAATTATGGGGTTTTCTACAAGGAGTGATTCCGACAATCTATATATCATACCCTACTAGCCCTGCTCCTCAAAAAACAAAGAGCACAAACTGATCAAAAGAGTTCAGACCGATTAGTTTATGCAAAGTTATGTGCAAAATCCTATTCAAAGTGTATGATTGAAAAAATCTTTGAGACTGTGATGACAGACATGCAAAGCGCTACTGTACCAGACAGAAACATCGCAAAAAGAAAAATGTTGTGGTTGCTTTTAAATGCTTCCACGCAATAAAAGAATAAGAAGGAAGACAAGAAAGGGTTTGTGACAGCAAAGTTGGATATCACCAAAGTCTATGATAGGGTTGAATGGACTTTCCTGAAGACAATATGTTGAAGTTGGGATGGTAAGAAAGGTGGATTAAACTAATTATGTTGTGTGTTATAATAGTAACATACTCAGCATTGGTAAATGGAGACTAGACCGGGATTATACAACCTTCGTGAGGTCTGTTTAGGAAGTAAGAAGCCCCTTCGGCATCTCTTCATCTGCAAAGAATTCTCGATGTCAAACACAAAGACAAAGGGCTAATCTTTGAATAGGAAAAAGAGTGGACCTACAGGATTCTAAACAGATTGGCTTATTCGAAAAAAGCCTTGTTCTTTAGAAGATATATCTCGCATCTGGTATTGCATGGTTCCACTCTACAAGAACTCTGAATCATTCTATTGAAGCTATTCCTATTATGTGTTAATGCTGAAAATTTACCGGTGATTCAAGTGAGTAAGATGGACTGATGGTATCTCGTCTATTCTTTACTGACGATAACATTTTTTCTTCTTTCTGAATAAGAAACATGAAAGGGGGACTATGAAGAGGATAGTGCCAACATATGAAGAGGGGAATAGGCTTTAGTCCCACAGGCGTTCCATTCTTGAGTCCCACAGGCGTCAGAGAGAGAGTGTGAGGGAGGGAGGGAGGGAGGGAGGGAGAGAGAGAGAGATATGTTTGTCGAACACTTTTGTAATGTTTGTAAGTATGTTTTGTGATTTTGTATCTATTCGGTTTGTATCATTTATCATTCTATTTTGTCATTTTTATTTATTATGTTTGTAATGAGTGAGTGAGAGAGATGTTTGTCGAACACTTTTGTAATGTTTGTAAGTATGTTTTGTGATTTTGTATCCATTCGGTTTGTATCGTTTATCATTCTACTTTGTCATTTTTATCTATTATATTTGTAATGTTTTTTTTACAAGATATTTGTAATGTTTATATGACTAATTTGTATACATTGTAATTTGTAATGTTTGTTTGTCCAGTTTGTATACTTTATGTTGTGATTTGTATTCATTGATTTGTAATACAAGTTACTGTTTCGCATTGTAAGTAGTGACATTTTGTAATGTTTGTTGGTCAAGTTTGTATTATTTGTATAGTTCGTATGTTTCGTATTGTTTGTATGTTTTGTCGCTCTAGTTTGTATTGTTCGTATGCTTGTATGCTTTGTACTGTTTGTAAGTCTGGTTTGTATACTTCGTAAATTTTCATAATACCCAAACTACACTTGTCATTAATTTAAAAATCCTTCCCACTTTTTAACTGTCAGATTGGTGTGTACAGACCTAAAGGCTGAGAGGGCTTAGTCACTACTCTTGAGAGGCTAGCCAGTAGCTGATCGTATTGGGAAAAATTGCCTAACTTGCGTTGGAATAATCAATTTACCCTACTAGTTTACCGGGGCACTAATTAATGAAATAGTGGGCAATTCTGTCACAATAATTAATGTACCCTACGCATGAATATTCTCTTAGCTTGCTCGCCATTTGTGTTTCTCTTCTTTCTCCTTTCTAGATAAACAAATGAGAGATCCATCTTGGGGGGATGAATCATGAATGATTATATGAAAAAATTTAGTGCTGAATACGTAATTGATGAGAGATGAGTGATGAGAAGTGGTTAGATACTGCTGCCCTACTTGTCCCCTCCTGATCATAGAACAGCTACCTGCAAAATGGTAAGCATACCAGTCACCGATTCGATTCTTCCGGGCCAACGTTAGACTAATGGCACCAGTAGTCTGTTATGCTTACCAAAAGCCATGACTAACCCTTCTGCAAGTAAACAAAGCAATGATTGCTTCTTCCGGGCGAACGTTAGTCTAATGGCACCAGGCTTTCTGCTCCAGAACCCACACAAATCACCCATAGGTTTGACTGAAAGCCTACCTTACCACGTATTCTCGTTCATGCAGGTCGCAGCAGTGATGTTCACCTTGGCAACTGGGAATGCAGAGACCAGCGCGAACGAAACGACACAGAAACAAGACTCTCAAATGTCTGAATTCAGAAGGCTAACCAGGAAATGCTCGCAGAGAAATGCTCCACCCTCCAAGAAAGCACTTCCACCAAACCAGAGAAGAGTCCATGGTGCTGCAGCTTAGGAAATGAGAAGATCCCTAAAGGCCAATGTCATTCGCTAGACGATCTGCTGTCAACATGATCAGAACAGGAAATGCAAGCATCAACTTTAAGCCATTTCCCTTATATAGCTTCAACTGCCTGACTTCCACCATTGCCAGAAACCCTCACAATTCAACAGCTCGCCATGCGAAACAAGCTGGAAACTGGAGTATATCTCTAGGAGTGAACAATATCATTAATCTCCACAACTGTAGCTGCCAAAGTACAACTCCAGGGCACTGACATTTAAGCACAGCTTTTGTTCAACCGCAATCCTCGAGAGACACCTTTGTAAAAAATGTCAGTAGCGAACTAGCAGTTGCAGTTCTCTACAATCAGAATTTTCTAAATGGAAACAACCACTCTTCTTCAATTCTCACTCACCAGCTTAGTCTGGATTCGGCTTGACATATTACCGAAAGCCATGAGTCTTCTGGCTTTTTATCTCACAAACACAATGCCAACTGAATCACCAAGCAACCATTGTTGCCAAAATCTTTGCCACATTCCTCTTCCTCGATCTCTTGGAGACAGTCAAAATTATATGGCGGAGATCCAAAATCTTCTGCAGCAGAGTACACTAGTTCTTCAATCACTGTAATCAACTCCAACATGATTAGCCTGGTGTATTGAAGAATGAACAATTCACCAAATCTACCCTCGAATGCCGCAGCCAGCGTCACCAATTCGATGCTACTAATATCATATCGAAACAGGCAAATCAAATTAGCAATTCTGCAATGCTAGAAGCTCTTTGTGTGTTACTTTGGAACCCATTGGCATACAGAAGTCACTCACCTCCACAAAGAACACATTCCTATGTATAGCTTACAGAGAGATACCAAAAGAGAAGAATACAACAAATTGCAGACCTAAAAAAGACAGTAAGACTCTCTAATTTACCGGAATCAGAACCGTACTCAGAATTTAGAATCGGCCGTATCCACCACCACCACCACCGCCATCTCCGCCGCCGTGCTCCTTCTCAATCTGCTGCCGCTGCTTCTCGGCGAGCTTCTCCAGAGCCGATTCCACGGCATCGCGGCCGTTGATTAGCAGCCGCGTCACGATCTCCGGATCCTTCTCGAACCGAGCCGCCTCGAACTCCTTCCTCGCGTTTTCTCTCAGGACATCCCTCCACGGCACGCCGCGAGCGTCCGGCCACGCGAAGAATCGCGTGGCTCTCAGGATGTCCCTGTACAGGTGCAGCGCCTCCCGGCGCGTGCTGGTGAGCCGCCGCCGGTTCAGGAGCTCTTCCTCCTCGTCGTCGAGGATTGACGACTTCTTCTGCTTCTTCTCCGCCGTGTGCCGCTCGAAGAGCTCCTCCACGGTGTCAGGGCCTTCGTGCAGAAGGCGCAGGTTGAGAAACGGGGCGGTACGAGATGAGCAGTTCATTGAGATGGCTAGATCCCGCCATCGCTGGAGCTTCATCGTCGTCATTCGTCGACACTTTCCTCTTGGTGGCGAAACGAGACGGTGGGGGAATATCGAATTCCACGCAATAAAGTTGGGTCGTTTACTATTAAAATGGGCCTTCCTCTTGGGCTCTTATTCTGTTGTTCTGATTACCTCCAAAAATAGCCCACGTAGAAGCCCAAAAGCGTCCAAAATGGCAAACGGTTAGTTAAATCGGTTAATACAAATGTTGTCATAACCGAGCCGGGGCACGGGAGCAGCACCGATAACATCAACAGTTCGTACTTTATTGGTCCAACAGATATCAAATCATTAAAAAATCGTTGGTGAACCGATACCTTATATAAATAATAATATCAAAAGTAAGTAATAACTTAACAATTTAATAGGGAAAATGAAATTTACTTTACATGTAAAGTAATTTTACATTATATAAGACCATTAAAAACCCTGCCTCCCATCAACTTTGCACAGGCGCCGCCCTCTCCAAAGTCCAACCCCTCCTCTTCCTTTCCTCCACATCAGTTCTGAAACTCTTCCATTTGCTCAATTATTATGTTCCGCCTTTTCCCCAACCTCCCATTCCTCCTTTCCTCTTATGAAATAACCCCAAAGTCCAAGTCCAACAACAAAGCAAAAGTAAAAAAATGGGTATTGATTGAATTCCCACTGTGTCATTCGTTAGTTCTTCACCAAAGCTGCCAGCGATGCCTTGTCTGTCGCTGGGTCGCCGAGCTGAGATCGAAGAAGCTCGAAAAAGCGGCAGCACAGGGGAGGTCTGCGACCTTCGACATCATTTTTTTAATATCAGGCGGTCGGCCCCAAAAACCGGGCAGGCGGTTCGAGTGGGTTGAGCTGTTAATCGCTTCGACCATTCACCGATCGATCATTCTGCCCGCTATGGTGTTTAGATTAATCCGAGCCGGTTTTGCGTCCGGGTGTCGGTTTTACCGGTCGGACCGATCGGCTCGGGTCGGTCTTAATAACACTGGTTAATACTTTATTTTGGCTCAAACTATGACCATATAATCAACTTTGGCCCGTGGTTTCAGAAATTAACATATTGGCCTCAACTATGCAACATATAGACTCAATTGGCCCGACACATGCTTTGACTGTCAATTTGGACGGTCAACATCATTGACAGTTAATCAACACGCAATGTCATTGCCTCGTCAGCATAAAAATCATTTAAAACATCATATTATTTTCCTAATCTCTATTATTTATCATTATCAAATTAACCAAATTATAAAAAATATATAATAAATTTAATTTTTTTTTATTCTTTTGGTGATTTGAAAATGATAAATTTTATAAATTAACCAAAAATTATCAAATTATTTTTAAAATTTAAAATTTTATTTTTTGGTTAATTTGAAAATGATAAATAATATAAATTAGAAAAATAATTTGATTTTTATTTTGATTTTTTTAATAATTTTTAGAGTGACGAGGCAATGACATGGCGTGTTAACTAACGGTCAACAATCTTAACTGTCCAAATCGACAGTCAAACCATGTGTCGGGCCAACCGAGTCTATATACTGCATAGTTGAGGTCATAATGTTAATTTCTAAAACCACATATCAAAATTGATTATATAATCATAGTTCTGTTAACCCTAATAAAATCATAAATGTATGTGAATTTTGATTGAATGTAATTGGCGCCTTTTGTAACTTTCACCCTTACTTTGAAGGTGGACTATGAGTCTATATATGACTATGGGAAAAAGAAGGTGGAATATGAAGTATGAAATCATGTGGAACTAGTACCGATCCACCGAATCATAAAAATTTAGAATAAAGATGAAATTTGGTGTTATTTGTGCATCTAATTCTTTTTTATAAGGATGATATAGATTTACTTTTATGTTTTATAGGTATTATTTAAAGAATTTGAACTTGGGATCTCCAACAAAATTAGTGATATTATCACTAGACTAATTCATTGTTCATATTTCATTCACGTAACTAAACACGATAAACGTACTGGCAAAAGTACGAGCAACAAAAAATATTTTAAATTATCGGTGAAAATATAACTTATGCATCATTCTTGTCGTAATTAATTGTTAATTATTGCCTATAATATCTATTTATAACGTGAATACAAATTTAATCTAGGATATTAAGTAGGGATCAATTTGGCTAGGCTTTTGTAATTCTCTTTTGATTTCTTTAAGCAACCCATTAACTCATGTGATACTAAGTTAATCAAAGCACTCACCTACGATCAAATGAACCATAAAATATGATAACACAAAATATTGGTAATTTGATGTTGTACGATAAACTAGTCTAAGTAACTCAATCACAACTCTTGGTTCTAACAAAACTCATCCATAAACTAAAAAAAAAAAAAAATTAATCTTGATATTAGTAGAATGTAGATGCTAGATAGAATATTACAACTTCCATAACGTTATCAAGAAATAAGGACTACACTACAGAGCTTACAATTTACCTAACGGAAAAAGTATTCACGGCTAGAAAAATTCGAAAGAAAGACCAGGGACTTGATCGTTCGTTCCAGTCCTAAAAAGAAGAACATAATATGCAAACAAAGCCTTAACTCGCAGCCCAACTGAGGCTCGGCTACTCTAAAGAACCCCAGCGATGGAAAGAATGAAGGAGAGAACGCTGAGACACGCCACCGCTGCATAGTCTTGGTCGTCATCGCCGGCAGCACGCCGTTCTTGTTCTTGAGACACTTCTTCTTTCCAGTAGACCCTGGCGCCATTCCTGAAGATGGGTTCTTTCACTTTAACGTACCGCCGCCGATTCAAGCTCGCCGGATGCGGCGGCAGGACGTCCTTTAGAGCCACCAGCTTAGGAGCTCCGTCGACCTCGTTCATTGTTGGTGGGGAATGGAATTGGCATGTTTGTGTTTATATAGCTACTTTCGTTCATGTTCCAGAAAAGGAAAGGAACTCATTATTAGTTTCCTCCCGATTAGGATTCGGAAACCTGTTTTCCAACTAGGATTCGGACTTCCACAATTCCTAGATATATGCATTTTTCCAACTAGCGAATTTGCCATTTGTATCCAAAATTTCAATATTTACAATAATAATTCAACTTATCGACGGTCAACATCATTTGTGTTACGCTATTCTCTGTGGACTATTAGAAGTCACGGTTGACCTAGCGTTGATTCCATGTAGGAAATTCATATTTAAAATTTTAAATAATGATTAATTTAATAATTGAAATATTTGGTTGTTTTATCCTACCCTGGCCTCAATTTTTTATACGGTCGTCGGGCTTTCCTCCTCTCCGCTCCGTCCTTCATCTTTCTCCTCTTCCAGCTTGAAACAATGACTGAGGCGGCAACAATGTTTTGGAAGGCGGCGGTGCTGGGGATTTGGAAGGCGCCGACGGCCGGGCTTTACAAGAAGTGACCCATGAAAACAGTGAAGTCGTCGTAAAAGGAAAGACGAACGACGGCTCTCGACAGGTGGAAATAGTGGTTGGTGGATTACTCGATTTGACTCCGCTCCTCTGTTTCCTGGTAACCTTCTTTTTTGTTCGATTTGGAGTTGAAAATCAGCTAGGTTGGCTTCTGTTGTGTATGTGTTAGAAGAATTATTGATAGTCGTTATTTTTTTGTTGTTGTTGGTTGAAGTGATGAAGATGTTATTGTTGTTGTTCACAGTGTAGCAAGGTTTTTTTTTTATAATGATGAAATATTTTATTAATTTATGAAAAGAAGGAGAGAAGATTAATCACATGTAGCAAGTTATTGTTGATAAATATGAGTGTTGTTTTTATTATACCAAAATCTGGCATGATGTTTATGCAATATGGTGTGCATTTGGAGAAGTCCATCCAACCACCAATGTTGGTGCCACGTAGGAAATTCATATTTAAAATTTTAAATAATAATTAAGGGTTAATGCCACATTTGGTCACTGTGATTACTAAATTGTGTCAAGTTTAGTCACTAGAAAAAATTAATATCAAATTTGGTCACTCTAATTACTGAAATGGGTCACGTTTAGTCACTCTCCGTTAGTCTCCGTCCAACTCCGTTAAGGGACTCCGTTATGTGCTGACGTGGCTAACGGGAGCGCCTAGTCAGCACCATTTTGGGTCAGAAATAGTCAAACCCGACCCGCCACGTCACTAAACCTGCCATGTCATACACCCAACCCACTAACTCAACCCGACCCAAAACCAAACTCTCACCCACTTAACAAAACAAGATTGGAAAATCGATCGGGTTAGTGGCCATTTCAGACCAAAACCCTTTCTCCTTCCTCGCTTTGCTCCTTTCTTGAATCAATCCCCCACAAATAAATCCCCAAATTCGTCAAAAACCGGAATCCCTAGAAGCACGTACGTTCGATTGAAGCAAGCTGGCGATAGCTCGATGGAAGATCCAGATTAAGAGTATCCAAAACTCGACGAACTGGTAGGTGACTTACTATAAGCGCCGCAAAGGGCTCTTCAAGAAGGCCAACGAGCTCACCGTCCTCTGCGACGCCAAAGTCTCCAGCACCGGCAAGCTCCACGAGTTCATCAACCCCGCTGCCACGTCAGTCTACATCACCTCTACTTTCATTCAATCTCTCCCTTCCTCTCTCCGAAACCCTAGATTCCCGATTCCAGATGAGAGCGAGCTGAATCCGAGTTGATCAGTCTTCGTCTTCGTCTCGGAAGTTTCAATCCAAGCTTGGATAGCACAATTTTTCAATCTCGTTGAGCTGAGCGTCGGATTTTTGCTTTTGTTTTTGTTTGTGTGGTTTGGTTGGGAGCGCAGAAGCAAGGGGATGTTGGATCAGTACCAGTGAGCTCTCGGCGTAGACATCTGGATTACTCACTATGAGGTCCGTTCTCTCTTCATCTACTTCTTCCCTCCTGTCATCTTCCATGTTTGCTGAACGAGAGGACAGACCTCACTCTCCCTCTCCCTTAATCAATCTCTTTGTATGAGTGCAGAAGATGCAAGGTCAATTGAATGAGATTTTTTATGATGAATTTGGGGATTTTTTGGTGGGGGAATTGATTCGAGGAAGGAGAAAGGGTTTTGGTCTGAAATGGCCAATAACCCGATCGATTTTCCAATCTTGTTTTGTACAGTGGGTGAGGGTTTGGTTTTGGTTTGGGTTGAGTGTATGACATGGCGGGTTTAGTGACGTGGCGGGTCAGGTTTGACCATTTCTGACCCAAAATGGTGCTGACTAGGCGCTCCCGTTAGCCACGTCAGCACATAACGGACTTCCTTAACGGAGTTGGACGGAGACTAACGGAGAGTGACTAAACGTGACCTATTTCAGTAATTAGAGTGACCAAATTTGATATGAATTTTTTCTACTGACTAAACTTGACACAATTTAGTAATCACAGTGACCAAATGTAGCATTAACCCTAATAATTAATTTAATAATGGAAAGATATTTGGTTGTTTCATCCTACCCCGACCTCTATTTTTTTACGGCCATTGGGCTTTCCCCCTCCTCGCTCTGTTCTTCATCTTTCTCCTCTTCCGGCTTGAAACAACGACTGAGGCGGCAACAACGCTTTGGAAGGCGGCGGTGTTGGGGATTTGGAAAGCGCAGACAGTCGAGCTTTGCAAGAAGTGACCCATAACAATAGTGAAGTCGTTGTAAAAGGAAAGACGAGCGATGGCTCTCGACTGGTGGAAATAGTGGTTGGTGAATTAGTCGATTCGGTTGTGTTCCTCTGTTTCATGGTAAACTTCCTTGTTGTTCGATTTGGAGTTAAATGAATCATTTCCATTGTTTTGTGTCAAAATTGCAGTTCAAGCAAAACCTATTTTAGGTTCATGTGTTTTGTAGAAAGTTTACCATGTTTGGAAGAAAAGGTAACCACAACAAAGCCGAATCCAGTTCTGCCAACTCACATGTTGTGAAGTGCAAACACAAGATACCCTCTATTGTGTATGTATATGGGAGTGGGACACCCAATAACCCGGGGAGAGAGTTTTATTGCTGCCCGTATTGGAAGGATGATGCCATCAATTGTAATTATTTTCTGTGGGTTGACACCCCAACAACTGTGAAAGATTATTCAGAGTTGAAGCTCGTTTCCATGAAGTTCGGAGCACAAATGTTAGAAGAAAGGCTAAAAGTTAAAGAAGCTAAGACATAACAGATGAAGAGGGGGTAAAAATGATCTGTCTAGATTTGGCCAAGATCAGGTGTGAAAATGCTAGGTTGAGTACTGTATGTGTTAGTAGGATTACTTATGTGTGTTGTTTGTTGTTGTTGGTTGAAGTGATGAAGATGTTATCGTTGTTGTTCAAAGTGTAGCAAGCTATTGTTGATGAATATGAGTGTTATTGTTATTATACACGAAAATTTAGCATGATGTTTATAAAATATGGTGTGCCTCCGTCCAATTATCATGGTTGAAAATCAGCTCTACAAGATTATAAGTCATCCTGAAATAAACAACATTAATAAATGCTTTACCACAATTAAACTGTTCATTTCCCAACCAAACTGTCCACATAAACAAATAAACAAAGCCAACACAACAACACCACAGTCATATCGAAAATTCAATAAAATTGATGAAAATGCTAGCTAAAGGAAGCATCACTAACTTGCTTTTCACCAGACAACATAGCTAAATTTGTCTTCGCAATCAAAATCATGGTCCAAGCTTTTGGTGGGAATCTTCAATTGTGCACCCACTATTCCTCACCTCCAATAATTTATGTAGCCTACTTAGCCATCAATTGCTTCCCAACCACCAGATTTTGCCACAAAGACCGATGAAGACAATAGCTTCTAATGCCCAAAAAAAACCTTTAAAAATTTAGCCTCAACCACTTCTTCACAATCACTTTTTGTGCTTCCAAAAGGTAAAGATTCATACCTATGTTTGAATCCTACTTCCTTGCTTCGATATTACTTCTAATCCCTTGGTTCGAAGTTCTTCGTCTACTAACTGTGGCAGAAGATGAAGAGTGGGAAATTCATTCTCTGATCTAATTCGATCATTCCACTTCTTCGATTTCACTTCCGCAGACTATTTGAAGCCTCAGACTCTACTCATGCGTAGGCTGATTTCATCAACTAGATCAATTTTGGAGGAATTTTTTTAGAGTTCGTCTTCTGTTCGACTTTGATAGCAACTAAGAGGAAGGGTGAGGTTGACATGAAAATATCAAAATAAGTGTTTGACCCCCTCTTTTTTCTACTTTTGTCTTCTATTTTATCTTTTTCGTTTTGTTAATGTAGAAATTGGATATGTCGGTTAAAATTTCCATGTTAGCAAGCCAGCTAGGCGCTAACTAGGCATTGACTAGTCTCGTAGTTAAATTTAACAGTCCAACTAACGGAAAAAAAAAAATTGGTATACACATATATCGATAGTTGTGTAATACAAATGGGCAAATGGCAAAGTTGCTAATGGTTGGTTTTTTTAGTGACATTAGTCCAATGAAATATAACATTCAACATCAACAGGGACTGTTTTACAGCACATGATCACATTAATCAGAATGAAATTTGCGATTCTTAAGTAGTCCTAATCCCAAATACAAAAACATACAAACAATTTTATGACATGGATTATTTAACTCTGTTAATGAATTCATAAACCTTCGTCTTCTTCCATTAATATGCCATGCCGCAGTTAAGTTTTGAACCCACTCCGTCAATGAAGAAGAACCAAGTGTACTGCTGCTGATGCTAATCATCGGCCCTGCATATCAAGGGTCTCATCTAAACGTTTCAGCCTCTCTAATCCGTCACTCATTAGAAACCGAATCGTTTGCCTGTCATTGCAGTTCCGGTTGTTCTCCATTTCCTGCCTAATTGTTTGCTTCAGTTCATCTGCAATACACCATCGTTGTCTCAGAGATGAAGCAGAATTTACTGGATCTGTAAGCTTTCTACTCAGTTCACAGACACAATTCAGAAACTCACCAACTTATAGATCAAGACTGCATAACCAGATTTTGTGTAGATACTAGATACTATCAGAAACTCAGAGAGAGAGAGCAAATACCGAAAGTTGATTATCAATTCCTGAACCCATTTTCAGAAACTCAGAAATATCTAAACCTTAAAGCAAAAGAGAAAAATAGAGAATAGCTAGTGCTGAAGGTTAATATCAATTGCTGCTTCCATAATGCAGAAAAGTTAAAACTCTCTTAGAAACTAGAGGCTTGCTACTTGTGAGATACTTGTTTCAAATCGGCTCAACTGTCATCCCCCTCCTGAAACTTAGAACAGAACATTGTGAAGAACAGATGGAACCAGAAGTGTATACTATAATCCATTCTGCCAAAAAGTGGTCAAGACTCTCGAGTGGCATATCAAGCTACAGGGAAAAATCAAGTCAAGGTGCACTCTCCACCACATTATCTAGCAAAACCACTCAACAGAAATTCAAGAAAGCTTAATTCCCTTTGGCTCTATGCTACAGATAGTTGTAATGCAAGGCCTAAACTTCATCAATTGAGCCCTAATTTCAGAAACTTTTACTATCCCGGATTAACAGAAGAATTGAAAACCTAGAACCTTCAATGAAAGCAACTTCAACAAATCTTAAGATTCAGATTTGAAGAGCAATTCCAGCAGCAAATCAAAACCCCATATAGCTAAGTTATACCTCTAGCACCATCAGGTGCTCTACGGACGACCCGGAGAGCCTGCCTGTACAGCTTCAGCACCTTAGCTCGAACAATGAAGTCCTGCAGATCCAAGGCTCGAGCCATGCCCAATTCCTCTCCTCAAAAAGAAGCCTCCATAAAGTGAGAAACTTAAATCCAGCTCTACAAAGGATTTGTACAATGAAAGAATTGAGAAAGCTGAAAGCCGATACATTATTCAAATGCCTAGATTCCGTATTCAGATGAATTAGACAGCGAGCTCATTTGCTTGATTCAGTGCTCTTCAATGAGCTCGACGAAATCGTATAGGTGAGAGGAATCGCAGCAAATGAACGTACCTTGAAGTAGAGAAAGGGATGGGGAAGAGGAATCGTGACCGCCGGAAGTAGGGTTTTCTTCAATTGGAGCAGCTGGTGAAGGGGGAGAAGGAACCGACGGTGGCTGGCTCCGGCGAGTTGCTTGGTAATATGCCAAATTGCCAATGAATAGAGTGGAAAGTGGTGAAGGGGCAAAATGTAGTAAAAGTGTAAAACAAACGGATGAAAAAAGTGCCCATGCGGTGCCGATTTGAGACGCCAAGTCTTGTCAGGCCGAATAGGCGAGCCTGCTTAATTGGGCTTCGGCAATTGAACTACGTGCAAGCTGTGAGCCCGGCCCGTTGGCCGGGTTGATTTCAACTAATTTGTAATAATTGTATCTTTAGGTGGGTTAGGGTTTATTTCTGGGTCAGGTTGGGTTAATGGTGTGGGTTGGATGTCTGACGTGGCGGGTTTAGTGACATGGCGGGTCGGGTTTGATCATTTCTGGCCCAAAACGGCGCTGACTAGGCGCTCACGTTAGCCACGTCAGCACATAACGGACTCTGTTAACGGAGTTGGACGACAACTAACGGCGAGTGACTAAATGTGTCCTGTTTTAGTAATTATAGTGACCAAATTTGATATTAACTTTTTCTAGTGACTAAACATGTCCCGATTTAGTAATCTCAGTGACCAAATGTGTCTTTAACCCTAAAAAAAAAAAATCAACCTTCTTGATTAGGGGCAATTTTTTTTGTTGAATAATTTTTTCTTTTTTAGTCCTATGGGATGCCCTTTGAGTTTTTTTTTTAACATAGTCAAAGAGTACAGATAAATACATAGTCAGAGAACGAACAACAACCACGGGCGAAAGTCGACTAATAGTCGAACTTCTAATGAAAGGGTCTATTTCGCCACAAGATGGGCAGCCCTATTGAAGCTCCGTGGATAAGGATGTCAATTACCCACCCATGGGTAATTATACCCAAATCCAAGTAGATCTATTCATAATGGGTTGGGTATGGGTGAAGGGGGTTTGTAAATGGGTTTGGATAAGGTATGAATATTGCTTCCATAATCTAAATGGGTATGGGTTGGATATGGATATCCATTTACTTTAGGGGTTTTAACTACACATGCAAAAATTGGACCTATTTGTAAAACTTGAAAAATTTAGGTACCAAAATGTAAGACCGAAAAAATTTAGGTACCAAAACGTAATTTTCTATCGCTATTTTGAGGACTTACATGCAATTTTTTTTTAATTTTAGGTACTAAATATGCATATCTATAAAGTTTAGGTACCAAATTGTAATTTGTATTTAGGCATGGTTACAAACCCAAATCCATTTGTTATAAACCCAACCCAACCCAAGGTAAATGGGTATGGGTACAAACCCATCAAACTCTACCCATATCCATCTATTTGGATTTCATGTCCAACCCAATTGGGTTAGATAGTAAAAAATCCATGGGTATGGGCAAAATTGTCATCCCTATCCGTGAAGTATAATGACAAGAGCATAAGTCAAAACTCTTGTCCAGAAGAGAAATATCCTCGAGGATAGCCCCGCCTCGGTCATGGCCGTGATCCCTCGTCAACACCACTATGGTGAATCACCATAGAATTTTGCCAAAACAAAAGACTTATTGTGAATCACCATAGAATTTTGTTAAACACCATTTCATGGCATCTCGTAGAGCAATAAATTCCATAAGAAAAGGATCCGACATTTCTATCATAATAGCTTCCAAATGCAAAGCTTACTGTCCCTGCCGAATCGAATCCTACGAAGCCAATGCTACCCCAACACCTCGCTTCAGATCACCATCAAATCGCACTAGCACCGCCTCTGCCCGGCATGGGACATTGTGAAATATGTAAATCGCAAACGAAGACAAGTATTTAACGTGGTATCCTCGACCGGTGTGATGGCCGAGACTAATCCACGGGAGAGCTCAAGCTCTCCTGCTGCTGATATTATTATTCTTGAATTGATGGCCGCAGCCGATAGTTACAGGAACATATATAACCCTCTCTACAATAGGTCACTAGGGTTTCCGTTTCCTCGTTGGAGGACGTACATGCATGCGCAACATGGGCCCGACGTGAGTCGTCGATGGGCTTGGGAGACTGGGCCGAGTGCTGCTCCAATACACATCAATAACCAAAGTGGAAATCAATGTGCCGGACTGTGGAGCTGGGCCGATTATTCTCGTATTCACTTCCACAGCCTGAGATGTCTATGCCCGTACGTGCGAAGCCTCTTGCCATTCAGTTACCTGCAAGGAAAATTGACGAAACAAAGTTGACGGCAGGTATTGGATGCCCCATGTACGCCCTTTGAGTGTGGTTGTTCATGTTTTCAAAAGGTATTATTATTGTGTTGAGAATGATGAGGAATTATTAGATTAATTTTTTTATTATGAATTAGTTTAGTTGATGGTGAAGAAAAAAGTGAATTTAATATATTCATAAAAACTTGTATTGAAGTTATTGGTTCCAATTGCAAGTGTTGAAAGAGAATTTTAGCTTCAAGCCATATCAAGACCAAGCTTCAGAATCCAACAAACAATCAGTTTATAAATGATTTTTTAGTAGGATATATTTAAAAGGATTTATTGAATGCAGTAGACATTACGGTATTTTATAATCATAAAAATTTAGAGCATGAAAATGGTTGTTATAAATTGTACCATTAGATTTTTTTTTTAAGAATCATAGATTATTTTTTATTATTAATTTATTTAATTTTAAAAGAACACCCTTAAAATCGCACTACCTTAGCCCGTCAAAATTGTAATAATGGGCTCATGATAGATTTGTTTGAACCCTTCAACTTTTCCAACCTGATGTATGACTTTAGAACCTTAGTTAACCAAATTGTGATGATGAGCCTATGATTATTTCTTGGAAGTTTTCCAACTTTCCATTACGGCGTATGGTTATGCTATGAATCATCTAAATATCACACAAACGATTAATATTATTTTAATTCGTATTGAACTCGAAAGAAACCATGGAAAGTGCAACCCCAATTTAACCAATTCACATGAGAAACCCAAAACAATATTTAATTAAGAGAGGTTGGCTTAATATTATGGACATACAATCTACTAGGGACGGCAATTTTGCACATACCATGAGTATTTTACTATCCAACCCAATTGGGTTGGGTATGAAATCCAAATATATGGATATGGGTAAAGTTTGATGGGTTTGTACCCATACCCATTTACTTTGGGTTGGGTTGGGTTTATAACAAATGGATTTGGGTTTGTACCCATGCCCAAATACAAATTACATTTTGGTACCTAAACTTAATAGATATGCATATTTAGTACCTAAATTTAATTTTTTTTGCATATAAGTCCTCAAAATGTCGATGGAAAAGTACGTTTTGGTACCTAAATTTTTTTGGTCTTACATTTTGGTACCTAAATTTTTCAAGTTTTACAAATAAGTCCAATTTTTGCATGTGTAGTTAAAACATCCTAAAGTAAATGGATATCCATATCCAACCCATACCCATTTAGATAATATCCATATCTAACCCAAACCCATATACAAACCCCAAACCCATACACACATCACCCAAACCCTACCCATAATAAATGGGTCTACTTGGGTTTGGGCAAAATTAACCATGGGTGGGTAAATTGTCATCCCTACAATCTACCAACTGATGTTGGCTACATCACTATTTTTTTTTATAAACACGTTATATAGATTTGTTTAATTTTTACAATTAAGTATCACTTAATGAATTCGAATATAAGACCTCCAAATTCAAAATCAAAACCAGTAGTCATAATGTTCTTGGTCACGGCTAGACAGCTAGTTCTTGCTTGGTTCCTCCAACCAACCACCCATCCACGTAATTTTGTCAACCGGACCAAAGTAGTCGACCCTAACAAATATTAGGCAATTGTGAACCATGTGCGCCTATTAGTTTCTTTTAATATAAAGGTTAGAAGTTATTCCGAGGTCCGTTGACCTTGAAAGCCCACACGGTCTCTCTCCCTCTCTGGCTCTCTCCATATAGCTAGGGGCATATAAAAATGCAGAATCTCATCACAAACACTAAATACCTATGTTGATATGGGCTCAATGTTATTTGGGTTCGGATTCTGAGTCTGGTCTGTAACCGTTTCCTTTGTTAGATTGAATTAGGTTTAGACCCACATGGAGAAGTACTATAAATACTTCTCATACTCCTCTGTAATCTGTAATCTCCTTGATATAGTGAAACTGGCTCTCTCTCTCCCGTGGACGTAGCTAACACACATCGTGTTAGTGAACCACGTAAATCGTGTGTCGTGTTTTTCGATTCTCGCTTTCGTATTCTTGCTTTGTCGATTCCAGTGATTTCCCGATCCGTAGCAGCGCGTTTATAACAAGTGGTATCAGAGCCGCGGCGGGAAATCAGGCTAGGTTTTTCGATTCAGAAGAATGACGTCGGTGAACATGAAGATCGAAAAGTTCACGGGGAAGAACAGCTTCGCTATATGGCAGATCAAGATGCAGGCTTTATTAAAACAGCAAGGGCTGTGGGGGCCGCTGTCTGCGAAACAGAAGAAGGCAGCGGTCGATGACGATGAGTGGAATACCCTGGAGGAGAAGGCCTACTCGACCATCATGTTATCGTTGTCTGATGACGTCATCATTGAAGTCGCTGCTGAGAAGACTGCCGCGGGCTTGTGGTTGAAACTAGAGAGTCTGTACATGACTAAGTCTCTAACCAACAAGTTGCATCTCAAGCAACGGTTGTTCAGCTTGAGGATGCAAGAAGGTACGCCTTTGAGGGAACATCTCGAACAACTTAACTCTATTTTGCTGGATCTGCGTAATATAGATGTTCAAGTTGATGACGAGGATGCTGCCCTAATCCTGCTGGTTTCTTTGCCGAGTTCATATGAGAATTTTGTTGATTCTTTTATTGCTGGTAAAGAAAGCGTGTCGTTGGAGGATGTCAGGTCTGCTCTTCATACGAGAGAGATCATGCATAAGGCGTTCGGATCTGGTACAGTTGGTGAGGCATCGGGTTTGGCTGTTACAGGTGGAAAGGGAAAGAAGAAATCTGGTAAAGGGAATTCGAGCAAGAATTCCAAGGGTCCCGGTCCACAGCCAGGTGATGCTTGTCACAACTGTAAGGAAGTGGGGCAT